ACTAAAATATATTTTTTTTAACATTTCTGGTAAATTATGTCTATGAATTCCAAATTTACATTGTCATTTTATGAGACAAATGTACTTTAACGAATATTAAATTGATTCTGATATTGAAAAATAATTAAATAACAATGAAAAAATAGGACGATTATATATTTGTTAGTACATTAAAAAATCAGATATTCCTCTTGCTTTTACAGTAATATTAACATGTACGATTTGAATGTATTGACGTTTATTGTACATTATTTTCGTATTTGTTTAATTCATTTGTTATAAATGAAGCTTCCAAATTAAATATGTGATTAATATGTTATACTAATCTATTCATTTCTAAATTTTCTTAAGCACACTATATGAATTATTTTCAAGGAAAAAAATTTAGTAAGCGTAATGGTATATGCAATTTTGATGTTGCACATTGCAACGGCCCGTTCAGTAGAAGTACCGCCGCGGAAAACACGCCCATAGCGAAAGGGTTAAAGGGCACTCACTGTAACTCTTTTCTTTTTTAATACTAATGTTTGTTGAATGAATTATCTAATCGTTGCACTCTACTTAAAATAAATATAAAAGAAAATAGAAATTATAATTGTTCACTAATACCATCATGTGGTTAATCACTCACGTGTTTAAGTCACGCATTTGCGTGAATGCAATATTTGTTTCCATTTTTCTTTATTTTTATATTGCTAGAGACAAGGAACCTCGTCAAATAAATCATATGTTCATTATTTTCTATATTTTATAAAAATATATACCACTACTTCTTATTCATAAAAAACAACAACTTTCTATTAATTTAACGTGTAAAATACTTACAATTTAAATATTATATCGTAAAACATAAGATTAACAAATAGAAAAATGAACGATAAGTGTAAGAAATTGATATTTCTCGTGACAATAATAATAGTTTATCTTTTAGAGAAGAAACGATAGAAATAAATTCTAAAATAAAAAGTAAAAATATATAGAGATAAATAAATAAATAAATAAAATAAAAGAAAAAAAGAAGAGATACAAATGTAATATATTATCTTTTAAGCATGTAATACTATTACCATATGACACGATAGTTTTCGTATAAATCTCAAAAAATGGCACGGGTCATCGCGTGGATCGGTGAATACAAAGAAGAAGCATACTGCCACCAATGATTCTTCTTCCACCACCACCATTACCACCACCACCATCGGCATCTCATTGGAATCGGTAAAAGAGAAAAAAAAAAAGAAAATAATAATAAAAAAAAAAGGAAAAAAGAAAGAATTGCACGAAGGGAGAAACACTGTCTGTTCTCGCAAGAATGCATACGCGTGCAGATAATGCCCACGCGCGGTATTACCGTCATTATGCCCGACAATTTACGTGCTTTAGAAACGACTTTGCTCGCTTCCCTGATATATGTATGTATACCCGCGAAAATTTTGCTCACGGCGAATTTCTACGAACTCATTTAAGCAACACACGTAGTTTTTCGT